CTCTCTCTCTCTCTCTCTCTTTCTCTCTCTAAGATTTTCACTTCTTACTCAGTTATAAATTTTTTTTCACCCCTGCCCCTATTTATAGGCATCTCGGCGCACCCGAAACGGCCCGTACTGAATTCGGAACGGCCCGTTCCCGAGCCTTCAAATATAGGCAAATTTTTCAACTGGAACGGCCCGTTCTAAAACCAGAACAGCCCGTTCTAGAGTTCACTTTTACACAGATTGACCATAAGGAGAACGGCCCGTTTCCAACTTGACTTTTTAGTCAATTTTAGAATTCCGGAACGGCCCGTTTCCCTTTGGGAATGGCCCGTTCTACTTTTGGAACGACCCGTTCTGATACTTCAAAAATAGTATATTTTCTGTGTGGAATGATTCGTTCCAATTTTGGAACAGCCCGTTCCGGCGTAAAAACAGAATTTTATAAAAAAAAATTCATAAATAATTTAAATTATTACAAACCTTTAAAAATATTCGATAAAACCCCTTTTAATTAACAAAAATAACTATAAAAAATAATATTCATAAATATAAAAATAAACAATAATAAATATTGCATTAGTAGAAAATTCGGGATGTTACAAATGTCTAATGAAATGAATTATTAAATAATTGATAAACTTTTTTTTACCTAATTTAGAACTAAATCACTATATGTAACTCCTTTTTTTTTTTATCAATTTCCATTTCTTGTAATTTCTATTTTCTACTACTTTTAGCTCAAAGCCTCAATTCTTGATATTTTTTCACGTAGTCCAACGTAGATTCCTTATTTATGGATTCTCCGATCTTTCAATCACCAGCAGTTCTCATCAACAATGTCATCATCATTCCACAATACATGTTCAAATTTGCAAATGTCTTAGGAAAAACAATGGGCAATTTTTTTTGTTTTTGGCCCAAACACCCTACTAATTAGGCAGGACTTTATTAATTAGTATCCATTCCTAAGTTTATAATTGGATAAATTTTTTAAGAAGTATTTTTTAGAGAAAAATATGAAATATAATACAAATTTTTCTATAAACTAAAATAAGCTAATTCGTATTTTTTTTTTTTATAAAAGAAATTTTACAAATTAATTTACATATAATCTAATTTTAATTTATAAAAATTTATTTATTTATTTTTATTTTCTTCTTAGAAGTGATGAAAAAAGTTTATCCGAAAACCAACCCCCACCCCCAACAAACCTTTAAAAGAATAAACAAGTGCGGACATTGATCTTCAGGGAAAAAAATGTTTGGAAAATATAAATCAGCCAAATGAAAACTGGTGTCAATAGGATTTAGATGAATCAAGTCATTAAAAAGATAAGATTGATTAACTATTATTATGTACTTATTTTAAAAACTAAATACTTAAATAAGACTATTTTGAAATTGCTTATATTTTTAAAGGAAAAATATTTTTTTATTTGGACCAATATAGATTATAACAATTCCAAAAAAAAAGGGTCACTTTATATCGTTATAACTGATAACGATTTAAATTAGTTTGCTACAATAATCTTTATTTTATAACTCTCATGATTTATTAAAAAAAAAACAAAGACACGTGAAATATGAATTATCATGAGCTATAATAATTCTACGGTAAACAATCTTAAGAATATAAATTATTTTAAAACAAGCTCGTTTAATAATTTATTTTTAAAATAACCCTAAATTACTCAATCTGCGAAAAATAAATAGATTATGCAGTTGGGTACTTTCAATTATCTTATGGGACCCAGTATAATATTTTTAAGCCATAAAGTTAAAAATGCAAATGCTTATTTATTCCATCATTGTTGAAAAATTGGCAAAAGAAATTGCTTCTTAAACCGAAAGGCAGACAGGTAGACAATATTCTGAAAAGGATCAGAAAAGAATAACCAAGACTCGTTTGAAAGCATACTTATCCAGAAAAAGAAAGCTGGTATTCATGTTTTTATCATATGACTTGTTCTAGACATATCAAGTTAGTTTCATTTTTATAATAAACTGATTTTTCCATTTCATTTCTATCTTTCTTTTTCTTTGCAGTTATATTAATTGTGGTAGCAGAATAATTATGGATCAGGTAGCAGAATGATTTGGATCACCTACAAAATTTACTCGGAACTCTTGATAATTATGGATCAGGTAGCAGAATAATTGTAACTACAAGAGATGAGCAAGTGCTTAATGCTAACAAAGCTGATGAGATATATAGGCTTACAGAACTCAGTTCCAGTGAAGCACTTCAGTTTTTCAATTTGAATGCCTTTAACAAAAGTGATCTTCACAAGGAGTACAATGAGCTATCAAAAAAGGTGGTCAATTATTCCAAAGGTGTTCCATTAGTACTTAAAGTTTTAGCTCGTCTTCTTTGTGGAAAAAATAAGGAAGTATGGGAAAGTGAATTATCCAAACTTGAAAAAATTCCTCCTACGAAAGTTTACGACAAAATGAAACTCAGTTTTGATGATCTAGATCGCAAAGAGAAACAAATTTTTCTAGATCTTGCATGTTTCTTTCTCAAATTGTCTACAAAGATAAATGTAGATAATCTAAAATCTTTACTAAAAGATGATAAAAGTGATAATTCAGTGATTTTTGGGCTAGAAAGGTTGAAAGACAAAGCTCTTATATCTTTTTCAGAGGATAATATTGTGTCTATGCATGATAGTTTACAAGAAATGGCATGTGAGATTGTTCGTCAAGAGTCTATTGAAGACTCTGGAAGCCGCAGCCGATTATGGGATCCCAATGACATTTATGAAGTACTGAAAAATGACAAGGTTTAAATCCTAACTAATTATATCTTTTTAATGACATATGAATTTTCTTTATTAGAGAAATGTGGCTTTTTGGTGATGGTTAAAAATTTTCTTTAACATTGATGGCAGGTTACTGAGGCCATTAGAAGCATACGAATTCAGTTGACAACAATTAGGGGACTAAAGTTAAGGCCTCACATATTTGCTAAGATGAGCAAACTGAAATTTCTGGAAATTTCAAGGGAAGATGCATATTATGGTTTCGAAAATCAACTTGGTGAAGGACCTCTATTTTTGGCAACTGAATTAAGATTTCTTTCTTGGGATTGTTACCCTCTAAAATCCTTGCCACAAAACTTTTCTGCCGAAAAACTAGTAATATTGAAATTACAACTGAGCAAACTGGAAAAACTTTGGGATGGAGTGAAGGTAAATAAGTATCTCACTGTTATAATTTTATTGTTGCATCGTTGAGACCAAATTAACTAATTTAGTGCATTTGATATCTCTATTTTATTACAGAACCTGGTGAGTTTAAAAGGTGTTTACCTCGATGGATCTTCTGAGTTAAAGGAGCTGCCAGATTTATCTAAAGCTATAAATCTTGAAGTATTGGATCTCTCTAGTTGTGAAAGTTTGACTACTGTGCATCCATCTATTTTCTCTCTAGCCAAACTTGAGATATTGAATCTTAGTAACTGTATATCCCTTACCATACTTTCAAGTGATTCCCATATGCATAGCCTCAATTATCTCATCCTTGATTATTGTAAGAGTCTTACTGAATTCTCAATTATATCAAAAAATATGGAAGAATTGGACTTATCATGGACAGAGAAAATGAAAGCACTTCCCTCGTCATTTGGACATCAAAGAAAGCTTAAATCACTAGATCTAACAGGAAGTGGCATTCAGAGGTTACCTTCATCCATCAACAATCTTACGCAACTGCTACATCTAAACCTAAGCTATTGCCGTGAGCTTGAAACAATACCAGAGCTTCCCCTATCCTTGAATTGCACATAAGCACATGAAAGTTGAGAGTAATATTTAAAAAATTACCTTTATTAATTGATGTGACATGAAGTGAACAAGTAAACACATCTTATTTGTCTAACTCACAGAGAGCACCAAAACATGTATGGAAGTAATAGCCAAAATATTTAAATTATAAATTAAAACTACTAATGTAACGTATAAAAATATATATATATATATATATATATATATATATATATATATTTGGCTGATTTAGTAGTCCAGAACGGGTCGTTCCCAATTTGGAACGGGCCGTTCCAAGCTATTAAATTAGCCTAAATTTTTAGGTTGGGAACGGTTCTGGAACGGGCTGTTTCGGAAGGAGAACGGGTCGTTCTGAATGGGAGAATGGGCCGTTCTGGAGGGAGAACGGGCCGTTCCGGATGAGTCCCGGAACGAGCCGTTCTGATTTCAGAATGGGCCGTTTTGGGTGTGGGTTTTGTGCGTGATGAGGGAGTTCAGAACGGGCCGTTCCGGTATCGGTACAGGCCATTCTGGCCACTCTGAAAAGTCTATAAATAGGGGTTGGGGGCCTTCATGAGAAATGTGAGTTTTTAGAAAGAAGTTTTAGAAAGAAGGTCTCTGGGTCAGTGAACTCCTTTCTCTCTCAAATTTCTTTGTATGAATCCTTTTCTCCTCTAGACCACTAATGCCTTCTGTCATTTCTTGAAATTCAGATTAGAAAGCTTGATTTGGGTGGATTGAAGTTTCGAGTTGAGCCTCGAAGGGAAATTCTACTTTTGTTCAGTTTTTGGCTATCTGAGCCAATCTTCAGGTAAGGGAAGCTAGACTGTTTGTTGTTAGGTTGCATGTGAGTTTAGAAACTCAATTGATGTATGAATGTTAAGAATTCATAGATGGATTGAAGAAGATCTCATTTTTTGGGGTTTTGAGAAAAAGGAGGATTTTGAAGCATAGGCTGAATGCATGTGAGCCTTAAGTTTATTTTGAGTTGTATGATGCTTATGCATGTTTAACTTTGAAATAATAGATCATGTATGTATGATATATGATGTATAGTGCAGTGTGATTCATATGTATGCTAAATTTGTGATGATACGTATGAATGTTTAGATATGATATGGCATGAGTATATGTTCATATGAGTATGTTTATTGATCATAATGGTAGGTAGACCATTTATGATGTATGATGCATTATTGCATGTGATGTCTTATGACATGTGTATGATTGTTGATCATGATGGTGGGCAGACCATTATGATGTATGATGCATGATTACATGTGATGCCTATGGCATGAGTCTAGCCTAGGACTTGAGGAGAGGAAAAATATTTTCGAACTGGAAGAGCTCACATAGAGTCTCTTGAGAGTGGTGCTTGGATAGGCCACTGATATATGAGAGTGGTGCTCTGGGAGGCCACTGGATTTGGGAGAGTGGTGCTCAGATAGGCCACTGGGTTGGGTGAGTCTCCTCTAAGTCCTTAGCTAGTGTTGGAGCGGGGTATGAGGTCGAGGGTTATTCCCTTAACCAAGTACTCGGGAAGGTGCGTGGATCCTTGCGGATAGTCGGTGGGCGAACTCCACAATTGACTTGGTTAATGCATGCCAAGGTCGTGGTAAGCCCGTACCCAGCTGTGCTATACCTGACGGTGGATCTGGACTTCCAAGTGTGTAAGTGACATCATCCGAGTAAACCCGAGTGAGGATTATATCCTGTTTAGCTGTGACCGAGCGGGCGCATTGGGCGTGAAAACGGTTGGGGTGGTTTCGGTAGGATGGAATTTCACTTATACAGCTCTATTGTTATGGAGATCTCCTAGGTGTATGCGTGACGACGCATTAGATGATTGATATGCATGGATATCTGTCATGAGTTGCATGTATTGCATGATTGTCATGATGATGAAGTGTACGGTATTTGACTTCATGTTTGATGATTGATTGAGGTGAAATGTTCCTTAGGGACTTGATTGGGATGCATGTGTAGTATAGATTTTATTCTGTACTTGTATGATTGATTTTTGAACTCTAGCTTACCCTTCTGTTTCCATGTGGTGGGACTGCGATGATCATACTTGGTATGGGAACACGTCAGGGATAGCTTGGAGTAGAGGGGATCTCTGCGAGACGAGGAGCTGAGTCTCGTGTTTTGAGTTACCATGCTGTGTAACAATTTTTTTGTATGTGCTTGACCGACACTAAGGAATATTTTGGGATAACTGTACATAAACTTAATTATTTTGATCTTTATATTTATGCCTGTATGTATGTGTTATCCAGTTTAATATTCTCTTAGTTAACTAGTTGTAGTGCGATTCCACTAAGTGTAGAGACCATGGCGGGTCGTTACACTTTTATGGTATCAGAGCCGGTCGAGTCTTTTAGGATACTTTGTGGGGAGTGATCCTTCTAGGTTTCTATTGTGTCATATCTCTGATATGTGCTAGCCTTTGGTGATTTGTGGGGGTATTATGTTACTAATAGGATGTTTGAATTCTTGTAGTATCGCGAGACCCGAGTATGACCAGATTGCTAGGGCCATGGAGATGATAGCCATGGCAATGCAGCAGTAGAGTGCTCACTTTGCTCATATGGGGGCAGGTAGAGTTGCGGTTGAGGTAGCTAGACTGGTGGTCTCTCAGGAGGGGAAAGATTTAGCAGAGTTTAAGGGATGTCAGCCTCCTCAGTTCAGAGGGGATTCAGATCCTGATGTGGCAGATTAGTGGTTGAGGGATATGGAGAAGATCTTCAATGTTTTGGGATCTTCTGATGAGAGAAAGTTGGCTTATGCAGTTTACATGCTAGGGGGCAAGGCTGAGTACTGGTGGAGAGGCACCAGGCAGATGTTAGAGAGCAGGGGTGTGCTTGTTGACTAGGATTGCTTCAGGAGGGTCTTTTTGGAAAAGTATTTCCCGGACAGCGTTAGATACGCTAAGGAGGCAGAGTTCATGAGACTATATCAGGGGAGCTTGTCTGTTGCTGAGTATATTAGGAGTTTTGAGCATCTAGCTCGTTTCTACTCTCAAGCCATATCTGAGGCTTGGAGATGTAGAAAGTTTGCAGAGGGATTGAGACATGATCTGAAGAGGGTCATAGTCCCTATGTCCATAGTGGAGTTTCCTGCCTTGGTTGAGAAGGCAAAGACTGTTGAGAGATTGGAGGGTAGTGGTAGCAGCGGTAAGGTTGCTAGAGTTCAAGAGGGATCATCCGGGTCCAGGAGGGGAGGCTAGTAGAGGGGACCCTATGACAAACCTGTACAGTCTCAAAGAGGAGTTGTTAGTAGGGGACCTCGTCCTGCTACTCCTCAAGGTGGAGCATCGTCGATGCGGTGCTACCGATGTGGAGGAGCACATATGGTTAAAGATTGTTCCCATCCGGGGAATGTTTGCTTCAGATGTGGTAAGCCAGGCCACATCTCTAGAGATTGTCAGACACCACCGACTTTATCTAGGAGTGCCCCGAGGCCACCCATACCTACAGCTGCGGGGAGAGTGTTTACATTGTCAAGTGCAAAGGCATCCACTTCATCAGACTTGGTGAAGGGAAAGGGGAAGGCAGCAGGTGAGGATGTTTTATTTTTGTTTGATTCTGGTGCCACGCATTCTTTCATTTCTGTTGATTGTGTGGAGAGATTGGGTTTGTTAGTATCTTCATTGCATGTTGATTTGTCTGTGTTTACTCCGGCTTCAGTTTCTGTGGTGACGTCGGAGATGTGTGTGGGATGCTCGATAGAGGGGTCTGGTAGGAGGTTCCGAGTGATCCTGATTGTGTTGCCCATGGTGGATATCGACATAATCTTAGGGATGGATTGGTTATCTACCCATCACATCCTTATAGATTGTGCTCGGAGAGAGTTGGTATTTCCTCAGTTGGAGGAGGACATGTTAGTATTAGCAGGTCAGGCTGAGCAGTTGATGAGAGATGGAGCTGAGTGCTTCATGTTGTTTGCAGCTTTGAGCATTGAGATAGAGAGAGCTATCACTGGGATTGAGATTGTTAGTGAATTTCCTGAGGTGTTTCCAGATGATGTGCCAGGATTGCCACCTATGCGTGATGTTGAGTTTAGTACTGATCTAGTACCTGGTGCAGGACCGGTATCAGTGGCTCCTTATAGGATGACTCCCGCTGAGTTGGGAGAGCTGAAGAGACAGATTGAGGATTTGTTGGAGAAACAGATGTTGAGGCCTAGTGTTTCTCCTTGGGGTGCCCCGGTATTATTAGTAAAGAAGAAGGATGGTGGGGCCCGTTTGTGTGTTGATTATCGGGAGTTGAATAAGTTAACGATAAAGAATAAATATCCACTTTCGAGGATTGATGATTTGATGGATCAGTTGAGGGGAGATTAAGTGTTTTAAAAGATTGATTTGAGATCCGGATACCACCAGATCAAGGTGAAGGAGAGTGACATACCAAAGACTGCTTTCAGGACTAGGTATGGTCACTATGAGTATGTAGTGATGCCTTTCGGTGTCACTAATGCTCCAGCAGTGTTCATGTATTACATGAACAGGATTTTCAGACCGTTCTTAGACAGATTTGTGGTGGTCTTCATTGATGATATTTTGGTGTATTCTAAATCATTGGAGGATCATCATGAGCATTTGAGGTCGGTTTTGGAGGTGTTGAGGGAGAAACAATTGTATGCCAAACTTTCCAAGTGTGAATTTTGGTTGTCTGAGGTGAAATTTTTGGGGCATTTGATATCGGCAGAGGGGATTGCAATGGACCCAGCCAAGGTGGAGGCTGTGATTCAGTGGGAGCGTCCAAGGACTGCTACAGAGATTAGGAATTTTGTTGGGTTGGCAGGTTATTATCGGAGATTCATTGAGGGTTTTTCTCGAATAGTAATGCCTTTGACTCAATTGATTCGAAAAGATCAGGCTTTTGTTTGGACGGACGCTTGTGAGCATAGTTTTCAAGAGTTAAAAATACGGTTGACTACTTCTCCAGTTTTGGTGTTACCTGATACTGATGAGCATTTTGATGTGTTCTGTGATGCTTCTCACCAGGGGTTAGGTTGTGTAT